ACAGGGTTTCTCTGTGGTTTTGGAGCCTGTCTTGGAACTAGCTCTTGTAGACCAGGCTGGTCTCGAACTCACAGGGATCCGCCTGCCTCTGCCTCCCGAGTGCTGGGATTAAAGGCGTGCGCCACCACCACCCAGCTTTTTTTTTTTTAGATTTATTTATTTATTTATTATGTATACAACGTTCTGCCTCGAGGAATGCCCGATGAATGCCCGCACACCAGAGGAGGGCGCCAGACCTCAGTACAGATGGTTGTGAGCCACCATGTGGTTGCTGGGAATTGAACTCAGGACCTCTAGAAGAGCAGCCAGTGCTCTTAACCTCTGAGCCATCTCTCCAGCCCCCTCAGAGCAGTTTCTTTTCTTTTTTTTTTTTTAAATTGCACTTATTCTTTTTTTTTAAATATTTATCTACTTATTATGTATACAATACTCTGTCTGCGTGCATGCCTGGAGGCCAGAAGAGGGCACCAGACCCCACCACAGATGGCCGTGAACCACCACGTGGTTGCCGGGAACTGAACCCAGGACCCCCCGGAAGAGCAGGCAACGCTCCCAACCTCTGAGCCATCTCTCCAGCCCCTCAGAGCAGTTTCTTAACTGTGGTTCCCTCTTCTAAATGACTCTAGGCCTATATCAAGCTGCCAAAAATCTAACCAGGACAAGAGAGAATCAGCCATTCATATACATGGGTTATGCATCTACAGACTCAACTGACTAGAAATAATTGGGAAAAACACATCTGCACTGAAAATGTACACTTTTTTCTTTGTTTGGCTTGAGATAGGTTTTATGTGACCCAGGCTGGCCTTGAGTTAACTCTGTGGCTGAGATGGCTTGGATTCCACAGCCTCTGTCCCTGAGTTCTGGGAAATCACAGGGTACACTGCACTTAGATGCCCTTCTCTTGTCGCGATTCCCTGCACAGTGACGGACAGCTGGACACAGTGGCCCTTAAGAGGTGGATGCAAGAGAACTGCCATGAATTTGAAGCCACCCTGGGCCACAGATAGAGGCCCTGTCAAAAAAACAAAACAAAACAAAACAAAACTACCCAAGAACAAAACACAGTGCAGCCTAACAACGCATGGACATGGCATCAGAGATAGCGGTAAGTGAGAATCCCACGCAATGCCTCCTTTTCCTGTGTTCCCTAGGTACGCTGCTGTCAGAACTAGAAACCTCCACACCATCTCTGTAGCTTTGTATCTTTAACTTCCCTTAGCCAACTGCTCATCAAATCTTTAATCCTACAGTCCTAGCATTTGGGCTGAGACAGGAGAATGGCTAAGAGTTAGAGGCCAGACTGAGCTACATAACTGAGTTTGAGGCAAACTTTGGTTATAGAATAGGACCCTGTCTCAACCAATCCTTCTCCCCAAGTAAGACCTGTTGTGGAATGTTATTGTAACTATTTAAGATGTGTTGTATTTGTTTATGTTGTGTAATATTTGTTTAACTATCTAAAGATGTGTTTAATTATGTAAAGCAGTGTTGCTATTTTACCTTGTCTGCCTAAGGCACCTGCTTGGTGCATGGCCAATAGCGAGGGAGGAGGTGTAGGCAGGACTTCTGGGCAGGGAGTAGGAGAAGGAATCTAGGCTTGAGAGAGACAGAGGGAGACAAGGGAGAGACGAAGATACCAGGGATATGCCAGGGCCCAGCCAGCCAGCCCTGGAAGAAGCAGGAAAGCAGGACACACAGAATAAAAGAAAGGGAAAAAGCCCTGAGGCAAACGCAGATGAATAGAAACAGATTAAATTAAGTTAGAAGAGCTAGTGGGATAAGCATAAGCTAAGGCTGAGCATTCATAACTAATAAGTCTCTGTGTCTTTATTGGGAGCTGGTTGGTGGCCCAAAGAAATTTCCAACTACAAGATCCTCTCAATCTCTCCACTTTTTGTTGTTGTTTTAAGACAGGGTCTTGCCTGGTGGTGGTCACCTTTAATCCCAGCACTCGAAAGGCAGAGGCAGGCGGATCTCTGTGAGTTCGAGGCCAGCCTGGTCTACAGAGGGAGTTCCAGGACATCAATGGCTACAAAAGAAACCCTGTTTCGAAAAAACCAAAAAGAAAGCAGCATCTGGAATATGTGAATGAACAGGAGTCCTGTTAGTCACTAACTAACTAGTCACACCTCACTAACTAGTCACACCCACTCACTAACTAGAAAACCCACAAGGATTTTTCTATCTACTAGGAGTAGTTTTTTTTTTGTTTTTGTTTTTTTTTTTTTTTTGGTTTTGGAGACAGGGTTTCTTAATAGTTATGAAGTCAGTCCTGGAACTCACTCTGTGAACCAGGCTGGCCTCGAACTCACAGAGATCTGCCTGCCTCTACCTCCAGGGTGCTGCGCTATCAATGCCCAGCAAAGAGTAGTTTTTTAAATTATTAATTAATTTTATTGATTGATGTTTTTTGAGACGGGATCTCTCTGTTATCTGGCTGTGGCTGTCCTAGAACTTACTACAAAGAACAGGCTGGCCTCAAACCGAGTTCTGGGATCAAAACTGTACGCTACCACTGGGTGGTGGCACACACCTTTAATCCCAGCACTTGGGAGGCGGAGGCAAGCGGGTCTCAGAGTGTTCAAGACCAGCCTGATCTATAGAGCAAATTCTACACAAAGAAACATTATCTCAAAAAACAAACCAAAAAAGAAAAAAAAAGGAAAAGAAAAAGAAGAAAAGAGAAAATAAAAACCAAAGAAATCTTCCTACCTAGATTTAGTTCTTTGAGGCAGGAAGTATTGTCATGTTTTGGTGGGGGGGCTATGGTACTCAGTACTTATTAGTACCTAGAGGCACTCAGTAAATGATCATGACGTGATGACACAATGTCAGATCACAGCTGGGCAGTGGTGGTGCACGCCTTTAATCCCAGCACTTGGGAGACAGAGGCAGGCAGATCTCTATGAGTTCGAAAGCCTGGTCTACTAAGAGCTAGTTCCAGGACAGCTAGGACTGTTATACAGAGAAACCCTGTCTCAAAAAACAAACAATGTCAAGTCACACAAGGAAAAGCATCATATGCCATACACTGAAGGAAAAACGGTCAGACAGTCTAAGAAAAAAGCCTTGTTTTTTGTTTAAGATAGGGTCTTGGGGCTGGAGAAATGACTTAGAGATTAAGAGCACTGACTGCTCTTCCAGGGGTCCTGAGTTCAAGTCCCAGCAACCACATGGTGGCTCACAACCATCTATGAGATCTGGTTCCCTCTTCTGGCCTGCAGGTGTACATGCAGGCAGAACACTATATATAATAAATAAAATCTTTAAAAAGTGACCACATTCCTAATCCTTCTGCCTTTAACTCGAAATTGGGGTGATGACAGGTATGTAGTCCCAGACCTGGCAAGTATATTCAGTCTTTTCCAGGTAGTTTAACTCTCCAAAATATGAGGCTAGTCATAAGGCTAACATGGAAGCCACTGATGACTGTACAGGCCAGCGGGGGCTCAGCAGATAGACGCACCCGCGACACACTGCTGGTGACTCTAGTTTCATTTCTAGTACTCAAGTCTTATGGCTTATCTTGGCTGTCAACTTGATCCACTCGGGAAGAGGGAACCTCAGTTGAAGACTGGCCTCTGAGTTGTCCATGGGCATGTCTGTGGAGCATTTCCTCGGCTGTCTATGGATATGGAGGAGAGCAGCAATCCACAAAGCTGTCTTCCAACTTCCACACGCACTACTGTGGCAAATGCACCGCAACACGCATATGCACACGCAATTATGAATATTAAGAGATTACATGTATCAAAGTGAATTTTTTAATGGTTAGAACTGGGAACGTGGGCTCAATTGTAAAGAACTTGTCTTACAAAGTGGGGACCTGAGCTTGGACCCCCAAACTTCCCAGAGAAGCCAGGCACAGTGCAGGGGAAAGAAAGCAGTGCTTTGCACAGGGTAGGTTGTGTTCTCTGCCACTGGGTTACATCCCCACCCCATTTTACAACTGAGGAAGTGAACACAGACATCAGACATAGGGCTCTCTTGTTGTTGTTTTGTTTTTTGAGACAGGGTTTCTCTGTGTAACCCTGGCTGTCCTGTGTGTCCTGGCTGTCCTGGAACTAGCTCTGTAGACCAGGTTGGCCTCAAACTCATAGAGATCCGCCTGTCTCTGCCCCCCCCCCCAGTGCTGGGATTAAAGGCATGTGCACCAATTCCTGGTGTATATGGCTTTTTGTTTGTTTGCTTGCTTGTTTTGTTTTTCAAGACAGACTTTCTCTGTGTAGCCCTGGCTGTCCTGGAACTTGCTCTGTAGACAAGGTTGGCTTTGAACTCACAGATTCATTTCCTTCTGAGTGCTGAAGGGACTGAAGGCTGCACCACTACCACCCAGCTAAATACAGGACTCTTAAGTAGGAGTCAACCCATATTCAGAAATATTTAAGGAGTATGTACTTTCAGGTTGGATTTCATAACATTTGAATTTACTTTACTTCAGATGTAAAGTAAAAGATGGTGCTGGGTTGCTGCTGTCCTGGCTCCACCTCCTGAGTGCTGGATTACAGGCATGGCCTCCATGCCCAGTTTTGTGGGCGCTAAGGACTGAACCTGGTTTTTGTGCATGATAATCACTCTACCAACTGAGCCATGACCTCAGGCCTTGAGTAAAATTTCAAATAGTCAAGTTGGATTAGACGTAATTTTGAACATGTCCTGAACTTAAATTTAGAAATCGTAGCCTGGTGGTGGTGGCTCACATATTTAACCCCAGCAGTTGAGAGGCAGAGGCAGGTGGATCTCTGTGAGTTCGAGGTCAGCCTGGTCTACAAAGCGAGTTCCAGGACAGTCAGGGCTACATAGAAAAACCCTGTCTCAAAAAAGAAAAAAAGAAAAGAAAAAAA